ACATCCATTATGGGACTACAGAGAGGAAATTAGAGTAATGAGACAGCCCACTAGAACACTTCTAAAGGGAATTTACATAATAATCAAATTAATCTTCGCAGGAGAGGTCTCTTCAGGAGGACAGAATACTGCGAAGGTACAGACAAAACAAGAGAAAGACACTTTTTCCTAAAATCATGATTTCAGTGATTGTAAATCCAGGTTCAGAGTGTTTTCTGCTATATTACTTCCTAACATGATAGCAACCTGAACATGGGCTTAATATTGTTAATTTTCTTTAAATGAAGTTGAAAAGACATTACAACCAAATTATGCACCTCTTCAGTATCTCAGAAATAACTCTTTAGCACTCTGTTACTTTTCTTTTTTCATAAAGCGACGCATACGCTGATATATCTGCGGTACGATGCTGGTATCACCGGTTAGCTGGACTCCTGTAGGGATCCCTGTTGGTACTTAAACAAACACAATAAGAGTATAGTAACCAAACAAGCACGCTCTGCTGCTCACGGCACTGAGAATATTCAATTAAGCCCAGAAAATGCCAATATTTAACAAGCCCCGAAGAGCTAGAAAAGGCGAGGCTGGTCATATTCTGTATTCTTATTACTGTCAAGTTCTATAAAAAGACCAGCAATAAATCAGCCGTAATGGATTGTATTAACAAATATTTTCCGAGTATACAAAGTCTTGAACGTCTAACTCCTCTGTGGCGTTTCTCTGATTACTGTGTAGTTTATTTAAATTTAATCTCACGTACGCCGTTGCTGAAAATACCCACAAGGGCATGCAATTTGTATAAATCTTTGTCTTAATTTAAGCTAAATGGATCTAGGACAAGGAGGTGTTCCTTGCTTTAGACAGTCTCTGATACATGGGAACCAGGTTTTATTTTTACCAGTTTAACCTGTTGATTTGTATGATAAGTTCTGCATTTTGGACAGAGTGGGGGTCTCAAGTAAATGCATTGCTGTGGTGTTTTTTAACTAACGTTCTTCCACCTCAATCCACTAACATTGTGTGTTTTTTGAACCATTTCTTTAGGTTTATTTAAATATAACTGGCAAGTCTAAGTCATTTTGAAAATGCAGCAGACTTTCAGCATCTTGTTCTCTATTTAATATTGATTACTGTCATGTTCTATATGATATTTAAAATAGTTTTTTGGTATTTCATAACTCCCTAGTGTACGAGGAGTATGTTCATGGGGGTCAGAGTCGGAGCCACTTCCTACTTAAGTTAGCTTCTGGCTTTGTACCAAATTATTTGCCCGATGAAGGTCTAGCACCAATAAATGTGTCTTTGCAAGTGTGTGGGAGTCCTATTGCATGTTTGCTATAAATTATTGTCTAAAATAGTCCTTAACAAATCTGCTATTTAGCCCTGTTTGACTATTGTTTGTCATAACTGCAGGTGCTTTTAAAAAAAATTAATTAGCATTCAAAAAACAAATGGGCTTCAAAAGGGAAGAGATGTTAAATATATATCTATCTTTTATAGCCCGAGGATCCTGTCTATATCATGATATGCATATTACACAAATGTATCACCCAGTTGGAACGGCTCCAATCTACAGACAGTAGCTGCTTACATGCCGATGTGGAAGCTACAGCAGACCTGAGCAACTTGGTAACTACAGACACTCAGGCAGGTGGCAATCCACCGCTGAGGTAGTTATCTGGAAGCTCACATTACAACGCCTGCAGCAGTCGAAGCTCCCTGACAAGAGAGCTTCGATGCATCATTCTGTATTAAACAACTTCAGGGTGGGAAGTGAAGAAAAGAGCAGCAAAAGCCTCCATCATCTCAGCTTGATCTTCTCCCCGGCTGTCGCAGGGAAGTTGTCAGGATCCATCTCAGAACACCAGACGCCCTTTGGCTCACCCACACACACACACACACACACACACACACACACACACAAACACATGCACGTGTCGGCATCTGCACTCAAAAACAAGCACATATGCGCACACCCACGGAGGAGCAGCGACACACAAAGTGCACAGTTGTATGCGAGACACATTTAGACGCACACACACACAGCTACACTAAGCAGTCTGTCATTCAGCGCCGCAGAGACACATGTATTCTTCATAAGTCCTACTCTTGTGATTGTGTGTGTTGGCCTACAGCTGCTCTAGCTCCTGAAAGCCCCTCACATCCACACCTGGTGTACTGCTGCCTGATCTATGATTTACCACCATCCTGACACACCACCAGATCACACAGTTCCAAATACATTGCTTGCCATTTGGATCTCAAGCAACACACAGCTTCATTTCAGTTTAGCTCTTAGCTGCTCTTATTTTAACTGTGAAAACACTGAAACCTGCGTAAGTCGGATCCACTCAACATCCTTCGAGCGCCATTCTCAACCTTTTCAAACTCCACCTGTTAAACATAAAGAGGCGAGTCGAAAGCCGCTCACTGTGCCTTTACATTCACGGGAGAGTATCTGCAGAGCTGTTTTTGTCGAGCACAGAAAATGAGATTTGTCACATTCTAAGTAAAGCCATCTCCTGATTAGTGTGACAACAATGCCGCCCACCTTTTAAGCTTGTCTTGTATCTCACTCGTACAAATGGAGACCAGCTTCTAATGATGCGCGACAAGATTATTTATCTGTGAAAAATCTGATTTTATAGTCCCAAAATAGGATGTGACTTTTTTTTAAAACTACCCCTCTTGTAGTAGATCGACCAATTAAGTACCAAATGTCTTCTTTGGCAGCTGCAGGTAACCTTACAAGCTACCTTGGCAGAGAAACAATCAGAGTTTATCTACTGTCTAAAATCTGTTTGGGTAAGAAAGCTGTAACAACAGCAGGTACATTTTAGAATATATGTTTCAGGAAAATACAGTCTTTGCTCAGAAGACAGGAGGTGCACAAACAAGGACTTGGAAGCTAAAACGTTAGAGAAAGCACACTGCAATTCTTCAATTACACGTTTTAAAGACTCCCGCTGGTGAAAATAGTGTTTTTTTGATTTGCTGGAAGACACAGTATGAGCAAAATAAACACCATGGCTGAACATTTCCACCTTCAGACTAACTGTAGTGTGCTGATGACAGTCTCAAAAACATGCATTTAGATGTTTGGAGTTTCAAACCTAACAAACCAATGCTCTCAATTTGCAGGGTTTTCTGTATCATTATTCTTCATCAGAATGGGGTTTTCAAACATCCATCCATCCATCCATCCATTATCTATACACCGCTTAATCCTCACTAGGGTCGCGGGGGGGCTGGAGCCTATCCCAGCTGACTCAGGGCGAAGGCAGGGGACACCCTGGACAGGTCACCAGTCTATCACAGGGCTACACTTAGAGACAGACAACCAAGCACACTCACATTCACACCTACGGACAATTTAGAATCACCAATTAACCTCAACATGTTTTTGGACTGTGTGGGAGGAAGCCGGAGAACCCGGAGAGAACCCACGCTGCACGGAGAGAACATGCGTTTTCAAACATGTATGGCCAAATAATTGCAGCGTTACAACTTGCCGCTGTGTAGCTGAGAGTAGATTTACAGCGTTTGAGGAGAGTTGAAGGAGAGCTGGTGTAAAGAGCTGCAGCAAGTGAGGAGGAGGGAACAATGTCATTCAATAACGTCCCAAGAAGTAAGTTTGATCCACAGAAATGTGTTTTTTTGAGGCTAAATCAATGACCAGAGAAGAACTTTACATGACTCAAATCACCTCAGTTTTGTAAATCACAACAGTATCCCAGAACTACAACAGTGTTCATCAGCCTCGCTCTCAAAAATATCAACATGCTTCCAGCTTAAGAAAGCAGCAAATAAAGCAGTCAAAGAAAGCCATGTGAAGACATTAGCTTGCCCTGCGGGAACATTTAATTGGCATTTTCCATCATTTTCACAAGACTTATCCACAGATTAATCCATATTGAAGGTTACTTAACACTTCCCATGGCGGGTTATGTGTCATGTAAATGTTTTGAGTACTGCTTCTTCCATCAATACAAGCTGGTTTCATGACCCGGCTTTCGCGCTCATCCCCGAGGGCCTCTGAGCCCGACGGCTGTCCGGGTCAAACAACATTTTTATCCACCTGTGCTGGCAAAAACGACCCAGAAGGCAGGATCAAGACAGAGTTGTAAGGCAGCAGCTGTCAGTAGCCTTGTAGCAATCAGAAGAACTTGGCAGAGGAGGATGAATGTGAAAACCATGAATATGTATGAGGGGCTGAGAATATATCTCTTATTCACTCAAACAAACCGAGTGGAAGGAATACGTGTCTGCGATGCATCAATAATTGCAGCCGTTTGTCGCTTTGAACAACAAAACTTACAGAGAAACTGAGAACTGGTGGCAAAGGTCCTGAGTTTGCACCGACAAACACGCATGTATTCTCAAATGTACTCCGCCGAGCACACAAAGACACATGCAGCCGCTTATACGGATGACTGAGCTCGGTTTACTTATGATTTGCTTCCTTGTGTGAAAGCTGCAGAGGCAGAAGAGAAGCAGATGACACGCTGTTCTCTCTGCCGTGGGCCTAAATTATTATATCAAACTCTGTCACACCGCCAACTCATAAAGCCGAGGCTAAATTACAATGGGAAGTTTTTCCTTCTTTGTGCACAATGTGTCAATTGCGTTGGAACCAAATTTTCCCACTGTCCGCCTTTTATCTGCAGCATCTGCAGGGCTTGGAATAGATTTTTGAAAACAATGGCGCCTCTGGCTTTTGGGAGGTGAGAGAAACCTGCAGGGGGACAGAAAGCCTCTGGATCGAGCTAAAACTTCATTCAGACTTTCGCTGACAGTAATAAGGAACACAAAAGAAATATTTAAGTGGTATTATCCTAACCCTGTGACACTGAGGAGGCGCAGAACATGACGGGATGCAGAAAATTGGAGCAGAAAATGAGGGAATCAATGCATTTATGCTTTGAAACAGTTCCAAAGCAAAAGCAATTTTAACTCACACTCTTTTATCTATCTACCCTATTTATCTACTCAGGTCTTACCTGTGCAGTAAAATGTGAGGAAGAAGAGCAGCAGGCCGCAGACCAGGTTCCCCAGGAAAGTGACGACTCCGCAGGTGATGCCTTCAGGTACCGGGTACACAGTCTCAATGAAGAGCTCCAGGAATATCGGCACACTGCTGTTAATAAAAATGCCGACCAGGATGCAGGAGGTGTACAGGATGGCTGCGAAAGGGGGAAAAAACAAACAAAATTGGAGCAAAATAAGTCACAGTTTAATCGAGAACTTTGATGAAAGAGGGTATCAAAACCCATCTGAGCAGTTCTTTTTAAAAAAAGATGGCATTCTGGTCAAGTTTATGGAACATCAGTGGTGATTTATTCCACCTTCGCTGCTTCTTTTTCCACCATTTGTCCTCAGCAGCAGTAAGATTTATGACAAACCCTCATCCTGAAACAACATTTCATTTAGGAAACCATCCCTTAAGGTGGCAATTTACGACAAACACAACCAAAATGTTGTACGTGTGTTGAAGGAAAATGGCCGGTTTGCAACCCAAACAAGAGGTCACATCTCCCCCCTGAGTCCACCGCCGGCTTCACCTGGTCTGCAGCGTCACGGGATTAGTCGTATTTGTCAGTTCTGTCATTCGAATGGTGATCTTCTGGCTTCCTATATTATTGTAATGTTCCTATTTAATGTGCTCAGTGTCAGGAAGGTCTCAAACAAGAAGTGATACAAAGAGCTGTAAAAGTAAAAATCAATAGTAATGTGGTGATGATTAGATGCTAAATTATCTATTTGTTCATTTTATGCTGAGGCGTTCTTCTTTTCGACTAGCTCAGCATGTTTGTGGGCAGGTTGCATAAGGCTCCAAGAAAAGGGGTCAGAGGAAAAGGTTTGAGGTCCAAGTGAGGAGATGTGTTTCTGTCTCTAGAGGGCTTTTTGTCTTTGAAAACTTGGTATCAGCATTTCTTATATGGTAAAGAAAACTGACCATGAGGTTAAACATACAGAACTATGTATAATGGCCAATGAAAAGGAATTTCTGCTCACTATAAAAACTGATTTGTGCTTCTCCTTTGAGAATCTGGGCAGCATTCTGGTAATGTCTTTATACTGTACACAATATTAAATTTACCAACAACCTAGCAAGGTGTTTGTTTTGTCATTCAAGGTAATAAGAGTCATGGCAGTATTTCAAAGCCAACCTGAATAAATGCAGAAACTAAACTATGCAGAAATTCCATTAAAATCTAGAAGTATTTGATCAAAGATTACCTAGAAGAAATACAATTCTGAGTCACACTTTCTGTATTTGACAAATTTATAACATTTATAACTCTTCATGAGACTGTAACTTCCTCCCAGTCTGGTATGGAGCGTCTCAAGCATTTTCTTTTGCAGTATGTTGCTGTTTTTAGTTTTCCTGCACCGTGTATTAAAAAACTACACATTTCACAGATTCTACAGTAAATTCAAAATCTAATTTCTTATTCTTTTTGTCAAAATGCACAGGTGTCCACATAGCAAACAGCTCGTCTCATTCCCTCCTCTTGCATGTTGAGAATGTCAGCGTCCATTGCTGGTTGCAGCTGCCCTGATTTGTGTGAAGTTCTGGGTCGAACTGGAAGGAAAAAAAATGTAATTTGGGGAAGTGCATTTTTCATTTAAAATCACGATATGCTGACTGGGTTAATTCATTTCCCACAGTCAACCTCGCAAAGGTTTATGTGCTTCATATAACAAGCAATCAGACAAACTTTCAGTATGTTTTGGCCGTTTAATGTTCTCATCGCAGCTGCAGCCCTCGACTGGACCCAAAGTAAAACGTGTGAATGTGTGCTAGAGTGGATGTGCAGAGAGATTAAGCCATCACCTCTGGAGCATCACGGCACCCTCCATCTCCCTTATCACAGCAGATTGGTCCAAATGAGCTCCCCATTAGCCTGCACGTCCCTTTAATCACAGTGCCTCTGAGGGCCCTCACGTGTCCGCCTGACTGCCTGGCTGTGACGAGGAATCTGGGCGCCGCTCAGCAGCCATCAAAGGCAAGCCGTCTCCCTGGCTTGTCTTTACTCAATCCTAATGAAGCACTTATATCAAACGGCTCAACTGCTGCACTTTTCCCCTCACGGCACTACGTTCCACCAGCTCCCAAAAGGTGGTGGGAGATCTCTTAAAAGGAAGAGACGTGGTGATCACAGCAGCAAGAGAACACGAGATATACCTCAGCGGTCTGAAGAGACGACTGTGTTTTCTCTAGAAATGACTGTGTATGCTGGAGGTTGTATTTCAGTTGCACACTAGAGTAGAGTGTAGTGCTTTGTTGCATGGCATTTTCCGATCTCCATCTTTATCTACTATAGCAAATCTAATTAAATCTGCTTAAACTGGTTTATATGTTTATGCCGTATTATTCAGATGGTTAATGTTTTCAAATCCAGAATCAGGCTTTGCAAAAGAGATTGGGGTGGGGGGGCATTACTCATATTTGGCTTGTTTCATGTTCGCATGTGTCTCAAAACACCACATGCTGCTTTCAATCACGTGGAGACAGCTTGAGGAAGTCAAGGACGTTGGATACAGCAGGACCACAGAAAAACACACAACAAAGTCCAGCAGTCTGCGGGGTCTGTGAAAACTTTCATGCAAATTATTTAAAGGGTTTTTTCCCCTCAACTGACTGGTCACTTGTTCACAGAGACCGGAGATTACACTCATCTGTGTGAGAGCGCGCTGCTGCTCGTCCCACACTGGGATAATAAGGTGTTTTGGCAGATTTTGTTGCAGTATCACGCCACCCCTCTTGTACGAGATGCCAGGTGGAGGTTGGAGCCCGGCTGCTGCTGACTGCCAGTGTCTGGGATGAGAGGGACGTGAGCTAGATCGAGAGCAGTTCCAGGGAGCGAGAGAATGATGATGGATGATGATGACTAGAATCAGTGGCTTTGAGTGACATGCTGGTATGCTTATTGGTTTGGCGTAGGAAAAGGCAGCTAAGGCCACTAATGTCCCTAATGGGTTTATCGCTGTCATCTACTCGCGGATTGGTTGCTGAATATGTACCAAAACTGCACTGATTCTGTGTCTTCTTTTAATATTTTGACACAAACACCTGAAATTAAAGTGTTTGGTTTCACCCTCAGAACCCAGAAACCTGCTGGTAGGTTTGAAAGGCGTGCTGTTTTAACAAATCACCACAGTTACACCATTTGCTAGAGCTAATCTGTAAAACCAGTGACAGTCATTGAATTCTGAACTTGACAACAGTTATTGAACTATTTGTCTGTGGTGTGTAGTTTGATTGAGAAACGCAAACACATCTAAGATTAAAATCAGTTAAAAATAAACTGTTTGCTTTAACCAGATTCTGTAAAAAAGAAGAAACTCTGCACTTTTCGGCACAACTGGGAACTAATAGTCATGTGGCAAAAAATCAGGACGTTTTGCCAGAACCAGCCTGACCTGCAGGCTGTGTCTGCATAGAGCAGAGATCTCCGACTCCGGTCCTCGTGAGCTACTGTCCTGCAGGTTTTAGATGCTTCCGTACTGCAACACACCTGACTCACATTAATGGATCATTAACGGACTTGTGTAGAACTTGACAACAAGCTGCTGGAGATCCATTAATGTGAGTCAGGTGTGTCGCAGTACATAAACGTCTAAAACGTGCAGGACAATAGCTTATGAGGACCGGAGTTGGAGATCCCTGGCATAGAGCAACCAACTGAAAACTGGAAACAAATTAAAAATGTAAGTAGTAAAATATCTATAGTATGGAGAGCCATTTTTTGTAGTATCGGTAACACATGTGGTCACTTAAAAAAAAATGTTTACAGGATGATTTCTGTTTTTTTTTGTAAAATGGGTAATCAAATAAATTCAAATTTTGTATTTGCTTTTCTGTGATTTATAGCATTGTAACTTTTGTATGGTGTACAACAGGCATTTTTGAGTTCTCTCTCCTTCTAGCCATGGCTGTGCTGTTTCCATAGAGTTGTTGGACTTTATATTACAGTGAAAAATAAGCCCACATTGAGAAAAATGTGACAAAAGCAAAAAACACTCTTTACTGTGACTTTAAGCTTTCAGTGTGTTTGAGAGCATTTGTATTCCACTTTAAATGAAAACCGCATGACATCTTTTTATGTATTTCTAGCTGTGGTGCTACCTACAGATATATCGTAGGCAGAGTCACCTTGGCGGTAACGCTGCTGTGAACCTACCTGCAGTTGCGGGGAGGTGGGTAACTCTGCTCAGACAAGTGAGTGTGAACCAGGTGGAAGCCAGTGAAGCTCCTGCCAGCATCAGCACCAGAATCAGCTTCAGCATCCCGCGGATAGAGTCTGCGAATCTGAGGGTGGGGAGGGGAGAAAGGACGAGCGTAAGTATATAAAAACGTCTCGTGCAAAGTAAAATATGTTGTAGAGACCGATCCAAAAAGAAACACGATGCAAAAAAACAGATAAGATTACTGAAGCGAGTAAAGACAGCTGCTTGAGAAACTAGAGGCATCATTCATAAACACAACGAGCAGCTACGCAATTTCTCAATGTCTGCTTCTTCTGTGACTTGTGTCATAATCTATTATTGCAGACATGCATTGTTTCACATAAAGGCTAGATCATTTCCTTCTCCCGCTTGTTTTTGAGTGCGTCAGTTGTACTTGTCATTACACAAGGAGTATTCCAAGAGCTGATTCAATTTGTCTCACCAGCTAAGCAGGCAGACTTGAGATGCACATTGTATTATATTGTGGAAGACAAGCCATCGGGCCATTCCCAAAACTCTCCCGAGCTCTGTGGTTTCTCTTTGTAGCCCTTTCTAAACCCTCATAGTTCATTAGCTCGTCTCGGCTCCTCTGGGTATGCATATGTATGCTTGGGAAAGATTAGATGAAGCTACAGAGGCCTGTAGCGAAGACAGACACTAATTACTTTTGTTTTGTTGCTCACAGATGCTTGAGAAAACAGGGCTGAACTTGACAATGAACTTAATGCAAGAATAAAAAAGACGCGTTGGAAATGGTTGATGAGTTCGGCTAGGTTGTGAAGTTCTGTCAGCGTGCTAGGGGCCAGGGGAAGCTGGAAAGCATCCTTTGGACGGATAATGAGAACGTCTTCACTCAGAATGTTCCGGATGGGCGTTTTTCGATGACAATACCATCTCTCGGGATTTCACAAGCTGTCATTCACGCTCTCAGTACATTATCTCCATGTTCGCAGGACATCAGATACATTCTGATTTTCCGTCTTTGGACTTTTGATCACTGTGACAGACTTGTGAGGGGCACAACCTGATGAATTCTGTTGGTCTATTGTGGAAAATGGAACCGAAGCCTTCATATTTTTGTTTACAAGAATGAGGCGGTTGCACTGGAAAAGGCAGTCTAGTCAGAAGGCCAAGCGCTGGCCACTACACAGGGATCTCATTTCTCTGCCCACAGCTACACCCCTGAAATCTGCATCACCCATCTGCCACTGACTGGCTCGCGTCCACAACCCTTCAACCACTCCTGCTGCCAGAGAGGGGAGAAATCCTTCGCCTGAACCCAGCCAAGCCCTCATCTCTTTGCGGAGAGGATCACAGGCTACTCCCCTGCATTATGTCCAATCTGATCCTCCGGGTAGAAATGCCATAAGTAGCTTATTTCCTGCACTCCACCTCTGGATCCTGAATCCACTTGATAAAGAGCTTGGTCACTGATTGACAAAACACGTCACAAGTGAAATATCTGATTTACGTTAGTGAGCAGCGTTTTCAAGCCTGTGAAAATCACTGGCTTACAGCGAACCAGCAGCAGTAAAAATACCCTATTACTTTAATCTGTATGTTTTTAAAGGGTAAGGCCAGCAATGTTCTGTGTTGTCTTTACTGTCAAAAAAAATTCTGTGAAGTCCAAATCCAACACTCGATTCTCCCCAAAACAAATAAAGCCTGTGTAGTCGAAGCCTGACATACAGTACCTTACTTCTCTGTGCCACACATCTCTATTGATGTCCAAAACGAAATAAAAACACAACAGAGAGCCATATTGTCACACTGGATGAAATGTTCCTACAGTACCCTCAACATGGTAAGTGTTGATTATTGTAAGTCAGTCCCACTTTTATATTGTAGTCCTGCAACCACAAATACTTGTGAAAACACTAAATATGTAGGAATCAGTAGGTGAAAATAGTCCAACAAAGGTCATATTCACTTATATTCTAGCAGCCTTTGTTATAAACTAGTGTCCAACTGTTCACAGAAATTACTGTAAGTCTTCTAAACTAAAAAAGCATGTTATAAAATGTAAAATCAGAAAGAATCATCAGATTTTTAAATGCAGATAGCATTTGAGCTACTCATCTCTGACATACTCTTCTGTTGGGAAATTTAACAACATCTAAGCTTCAAATGTTGACAGTTCATCAAAATAACTTTGTTTTACATGTCCCATTTAAAAAACTGCCAAAACTATATCGTTGACTCCAACTAGATGGTGCAAAAGAGAAAAAATCCTGAACTTCTTTGTGCGACCACAAAGCTATGAGTGAGTTCGCTGCAACCAAAACTCAAGGGTCACAAATTCAAGGAGTTTTTGGCTGAACTGGACTGAACTGCAGGCAGTGTTTACACAGAGTCGAGAGGAGACAAGTATGGAAATGAATTCACTAAGCAAGCAGCCCCCAGTATTGGTAACACCTGTAGGCACTTGGAAATCTTTAAGATTTATGACATCATAACTTTTATTGACTTATACTTGTGTATATGAATGCTATATTGCTCAAAATACATTTTTGAGTTCACTCTCTACTCCAAAATATGGTTGTGCTGTCTCCATAGAGGTGCAGGACGTTATACTGCAGTGAAAATGAGCCTACAGTAAGTCAAAATGAAACAGGGAAATAACGCCTAGAACCTGCTTGGAGGTTCAGAGGGTTGAAGATTCACATCTTGTTCCTTAAAAGAAAAGAACAGCTTGCACAAACAGCGTAGGGAAGTTGCTCTTTTCATGGGATCTGTTAAATAAGATTAAGAAAGCAGAGTATCATTTTGAATTAAAAAAAAAAAAAACACGTTGCAATAAAGGCTTGCATGTCTCTAGTAATGTAATTCAGAGCTCTGTTACACTACTTATTGAGTAAAGAGGGTCATGTCAGCTCATGAGGTAATGTCAGAATTAAAAGCCTATCTTTTACACTCCTCTAACAGGATTTATTGGCCATAAAGATAGCATCATTTAAGTCATGTAGAATCAGATCCCATTTTCTGCTCTTCAGTGCCTGCAGGGAATGATGAAATATCATCATTAGTATGATATTATCATTCGGGCCTGCCTAGATTTTTAGTGAGGGACATGCAGCAAATAACCAAACAGACGGTATAATATGATGACCAACATGCAATCACAGATCGTTCCTGTTTGCAGGCAAAACAAATTAGGCAGTGGCTGATACTCATTTGTGTTTGCTCTATCTCATCTCATTAAGCTGGAGTATTGTCTAGCTCAGACCTCCGTGATGAGAAGGAGAATAACCTGGTTGTGTTTTCTGCCACCTCCCTCTAACTCGCCCTCTTTCCCCCCCTCTTTTCTCGGGGCTTGTAATGGGAAGATAACGAGTGAAGCTTGTTAGTTATTCTTTCCACCCTCCTCGATCTGTGGAGGGAAAAAAAAAAAACATGCAATGTGCCACTGTCATCCAATCAGCTTCTGTCTGGGACACACAATTAAAGAGATGCCAGATTGTTTGTCAAATGTTTTCATGACGAGTGCCACACCTCGGAGCATCCACCACCACTAATTGAACCTGCTGCATCAATGTCCCTGCCATTCAACTATCCACTGGCAAACCAACACAGGCAATAAAATGTGTGCAAGCATTTTTTTTTTTTGTCTTTTTAGCTCAGGGCTACGGCTACTCCCCCAAGAAATTTAGCTTTGCAGGAGTATAAGCCACTTAAAATGTGAAACTCCAATACCTGCAGCACAAAAAGCACTTAAAGGAGCATTTTCTGCTCCCAGTAGCTATCTGTGCTCAGCACTGGCACAGCACTTGGCTGACTGGAGCGAGAGGGACAGCTACTGGCATATAATAAGTTTCATCTCGACATTAACATCTTAAGGGCTGCTAGTGGGTGAGACAAGGGACAAAGATTGTTCTCTGCTCAGTTCATTACCACAAGCTTTCCTGGGAATGTATCTAATGATGCCACGTTGCGGCAAGTTGATAAAGAATGAGGGAGAAAAAGCAGGAAGGCGGCGTTTAGTTTTTAGGGGATGCAGAGAGAATGTGGTTAATTAATGAAATTAAAGATAAAGTTTAATTTCTTGTTTCAGCACTTGTAAAACATTTCTTGTATCAAAGGGCCCCAGTTGTACTGCATCAAGGGGCTAAACTCCCAAAGGACGTCACAATCAGCAATACTTAATGAGAATAGCAGCTTCCTCTTATGTAAGACTCAGCAACAGCAATCACATGACAACAGGTCCTCACTTTGGATTACACAGACGTAAAAATACGATATGGAGGTGTGAGGTTGAAGTCAAACAAAAGACCTGACTTTAAATGAATGAGATAATGGTATACCTGTAAGCAGTAAGATATGAAACTTTGATTTAGACAATGTTATCCAGATTTTCACTCAAAGGAGGCATTTTTCGCACCCAAATTCCCAAAAAGCTGGACTCAAGTTTTAAAGTGGGTGAAGAAAACAGGAAAAAACGACCATGTATATCAGCTCAAACATGTCAGAGACTATGTAGCAGAAAACTTTCTTTTTATCACCATCTGCAATCGCTTAATATTAATGTAAAAAGAGCTCATAGATACCGACGATTGTGTAATCATAAAATAGCAAGACGCTTCATACCGCAGTGCATCACGCTGCCTGGCAGGTAGTGTTTATCAGACATAATGACATCACAGTTTGATATTTATTCAACATAAATTCAACTGAACTTTAATTGTCTCGTATTTCTCGCAGGCTGCATCAGGCTTCGCAGAAAACAGACGACAAATTCCCAGATACCCTACAACAGTTGAAAATTATTGCCACAAAAATCTAAGATGTGTTGCTTTTGTACTCTTGACTTTAAATGGAAGCTCAGGCGGGAAAAAATGCCCCAAGTGATCATTTCTGCAGCTGCTACCAAATAAAAACAACTCACCAACAAGACAAACCCAACCGCCACCAACCACGCTCAGCCCATTTCAGCAGCTGCAAGCGGAGCAAATGGCCTTGGGACGATTGCTAAAGCGGAATTTCATTTAACTATCAACTGTTGCACCAAAAGAAAGACCAATCAGTTCCTCCACTGACTTGGAGTCTGTGTAATCAACACCAATAATTCAACAGCTCGGTTTACATATACTTTCATCTCGTGCTGCAAACAGCTTCATTGATTAACAGTGCGAGTTATGGGCTCATTTCCCTGATTACAACCTAAAGAAAACACCGGTCTGCCCGGAAGTGCTGATTGGGCCTCGGCCTGCGACAAACATATATCCGTCAGGGCGGGAATGAATCCGTTGCTTTTGCAGACTCCACACTTTGTCTTCACAGTGTGGCTTCCTATCCATCAGTGGAGGTGAAGTGGTGGTTGCATTAGCATCAATTCCCGCTTGCTCTATTGCAGTGTCGCCGGGCTCGGATCGTATATTAAAAGACAGTAGATGAGATGAGATGAGGGAGAGCGAGATTCCTTCTTTTAGCGCGAGTCAAGCCTCCACTGTTCTTTACACGAGATGTATTAGTTATTAATAAGGCTATGAACGGCACAGCCTTCCTAGTGTCCAGCAGATGCACTGAAGTACAACATTTCCATCAAGTGTCCGGAGTTATTTCACTGTGAGGAAAACTCAAAGGTGCGGGTTACTAATCCTACCTGTTAGGCAGCACAGACGAGCCAAGGCCAACCCACAGAACATTAATTTATTATGTTACTGCTTTGTGAAGTAAATAAGACCTTGTACACAACTGCCTTTTGTGTTACATTATGTTGTTGACAGAGCTTCAGTTGTCATGTTTGCTTTAAAGTCTCAGAAACTGCCTCGTGTGTTGTCTCCATACATGTATGCATATGTGGCAATTTCATCTTTTTCTTTTTTAACGGCACACACAAGGTTGAACTGAGTGCATCTACTTTGCCTTCATTAATGTAAATATATACACTGTCTACTGACTTGTGATGCATCCCCACAGATTGCATGAATCTATGAGTTTTAAGCAGTCCAAGTGATTTGTTTTTACAGGCACAAAGATGTAAATTTCCCTCAAGTCCAAAAAGTCACATTTTCTTACTTAATATCCATTAATTAGGCCTGATGCCTCGGGTTTCTCTTGCAATCCTTTTGCGTGTCCTGACCAACCGATCAGGAAAGAATGATCGAAACTGCCTTTCTTACATGTTACGTATTTGATGGAGCAATATTTCTTTTCAGAATGAATAAAACTAAGATGCTTGAAGAGTAAAATAAAGGAGGGGAGGTTTTAACCTTTCTCCATGTTGTGGTCGCTGTCTGTATTCTGAGTGGAGGGAATCACAGAGGAGCTCACAATGCGATGCTATCACAATACGCTGCCCACTGGAACAACAGTGTCATGATACAGCAAGACATTTATCTAAGATACATTATGATGATGTGTAACTGAGGGGGGCAAAAAATGGAACTATGCATTTATTACCTAGATCCTGACGTCAGAATGTGTTTTTATTACATTTTTAATAATGTGTCAATTCATTAATTAAGCTCTCTGAACTGCTTTCTCCCATTGTCTGCCACTTCGCCCCCATTATGGCTTCCTTCTTCTTCACTTCACTTCCGTTCACTTTACCCCCATTCAATCAATAAGTGACACTAAGAGGAGTCACGAAAGCAGTGACTCTGGCTGGTCAAATTGGGGAATCAGCACCTGTACGTTTAAATGAAATATCAACATCTGGCACCAGGATATCGATAATGTATCACAGGAGGGGATGTGATATGTTGGCGTATTTATATTTTGTCCCAACCCTAGTTCTAGCCACACTACATTAAGAAACTATTTGTGAAATTTGTCAGATTCAGCAGCAAAAACAAAACGCCTGTGAAGGTAAATGAGGAGTTACAGTAAATGCTTATTTTCTAATTTGATGCCTCAGCGGGTCTATTGAGTTTTCACTGAGCTGGCTGGTATTAGCGCGATAAACAGCCTGAGCAGCCATTTAAAGTCAGAGACAGAGGGCCAGTTCAGAGGTCTGGAACCGGCATAGGGTCGCATTGAATTTACTGTTTTTAAGTACTGTTAAACCATATTCAATTGTAACTCGATAAAAAAGTCACATAACATGGATGAGAAGGCTCTGTATTGGCTACCCTGGTCCAGAGAGCTTGGTAGCGGGAGATGTTAATTAGCAAGTCGATTACAGGGAAGATCTGTGGCGCATCAGTGGTCTAAAGATGCACAGGTCTTAGCAGCCTAGATGTCCTTTCGCAGGTTTACTTTACAGCTTGATCTTCTTGTTAAAACGACCCTCTGACACACGGTAAAAAAAAGGTGCTGCTTACCTGGCCATTGCTACTCCGAACACACAACCGCCGACAGTAGACCAGAAACCAATCCAGCCTGCATCCACCTGTGGGAACAAAAGAAGAAAATGGGTTAAAAATAAGCTGAGCCAAGAAAAAAGTAGAGGAGAAAAAGAAAGGGGCTATTTTGTGCTCAACATGCAGTCCGTGACTGTGAGGACAGAGCTAGACAGGGAGCAGGCACTAAGTGTCTAAAGTCTGCCGAGGCCCGTCAATCACCACGTCTGGTAAACTGCCCGGCCTGGCAGCACCGCATGTGTGTGAGCTTGTTGTCCTTTCTTATTTCCACAGATGAAAGCCAACGCGTACACTCGGCCCTAAAGTCGGCAAAGACGGCCGAAACGCCGCCGCAAAAATCAATGAGAGGTAACACATGCCACACACAGACACACAAACACACACTACTAATCAGAGTGACACCCAGATGAAAGCGTCTCCAAGTGCCAATGAAGGTGTTTGGTTCCCATTAATCTCCCCGAGGCAATAACTCACATTTAGCCAACTACAACCAGATGGAAGATGATACAGCAAGGGAGCAGAATCTAAAGCAGGATCTGATGCTTTTTGCTTAATCATACTCTGCACCAACCTGTCAGGGAAGTCTATAATGAAGAAAGGTGGACTATCAAAGTTATTAAATGTAAAATGTATTCTGGCTTAGCAAGTGATGAATGCCAAAATGCCATTACATTTGATCCAAATTACACTCCTCTGAGCGTTCTGTGTGGGCCAGCCGTCTGCGAGACAGTAAAAGCTCATCGGAAATGCACCCATCTCCTGTTTGCATAGCCTGCAGCACCCCCCCCTCCCCGAGTAAATGACAGGGATAAAAATATTTGAATCAAAAACATCCTCAACACCCACAGCCCCGTGGCAGCACTAATTGCTGCTTATTCTCTATGTGCAACAGCAATGCAAGAATTTCTAAGGTGTGTAATGTCACATCGGTTTGCGCACCAATTTAGGAAGCTAAACACAAATTGCCTGCCAAGCCCTTTTAATTTTACGATACAAATTGCTATGTTTCATGTGCGGGTGGAGGGTTAATTAACTGCAGTATTCTTAGCGCCTTGGAACCCTTAAAAAAAAGGCCAGATTTGCAGCTTAATCATGTCTGCTATATTGCGATTGTGTCAATAAGCTGGAGATGACTGGAGCAAGGACAGGAAAAGCCAGAACTCCAGGCGCTAGACATGTTCACGTGTTCCGCAGTTTTCTCTCTCAATTTCATGTCATAAGCCATTTTTTTTAAAGCCAATAGTCGGAAACCTTATCCGTAGCTTTAGTTTGACGTGGTTTTCCTCCTCCAAGTCACTTCATGTAATCCTGGAAATCCACAAAGCACTGTTTAAGGTTGACAAGTGTTCTATCTGAAGGCATAGCATACATTATGGTAAAGTTCAAAATTAATCCAGAACTTCTCAAGTGGCCGTGTAATGGAGTAAAAAACGATATCCAAACTAAGGCAAACAACTATTTTCCTCTAAGTTTGGCCCTTTCATCTACACCCAAACAGAAGATCGCAAAATGAGTTTTGCACACCTTCAAATACGCAGATTTTCAAGAACTCAAGTTGATGTGTATAGAGCATGTGCCTGAACAACATAACAACAATGGTGAACATATACTCTTTTCTTTACATTTGGCTAGCACTAGCAGTTTACATCCTAACTTGGCATTATGTCTATGTAGATTCTCAGTCTTCCACGTCATGATTAGCTTAGTAGCTTCAGTAAAAAGCAACTGGACTTCTCTTTTAGAACAAGAAGATCCTCAGCACATGCATAATTAAGTTTTTTTTCTCCAGGACTGTTAAGTATGTGGTATCTAAATGACACTAACCACATTTTTGGGGGAGTTATTATTAAATCATGGCTGCAGGAAGTAATTCAATAAGACAAGCCCAGTTGTTGGCACAGGAATTTCCTTCAGGAACAGTACAGTTTTATCTGATCTCGTCTTTATTGTGAACCTCGTAGGACTAACTTGGCATTCCTGCACCACCTCACCGGTAAAGCCTCTGCTGTTCCTAATATTACTTGGTCCACAGCATCTGCAGTTTAAGTCCGCCAGAAGCAATGAAACGACAACCTCCTGTGGCATTTGATGTGGCACTGATGTAGAGTGGCACAGCTTTTTTGTTAGAGCGTCTTCAGTCATCTGTTTATTCTCGTGGATATATTTTATAAAAAGATGTCTGTGTCAGGGAAAGCATCCATCTAGGAACATATCCATATTACTGTGTACAAGGCCTTAAAGAAGCGGGACAGGTTGGATCACCATTTTAGCTCCATACCTTCTTAACTGCTCTCCATTAAAGGACTACATATGACTGATGAGCACAGTAAAGCACCTGTTTCTGAGCCATAGTAATTACGGTGATGCTAAGCTCTGTGCTCACTGCTTCTATCTGCAGGTTGAGCATATTTCCCAAGTGCAGCTCTCACAGCAGGCATCCAAGCTCCGAGGTGCCATGTTTGTTGATATGATCCTATGCCATCCTAATACCAAAATCTGATTCAAACCAGCAAATATGCACCTTAGCCTTTGTCTCACCATTTCTACTTGTGCTATACTTTGGCGTTTCAATTTTTTCCTTCCTTCCCACCTAATAACTTTGGAGTCTGTCATAATATTGTAGCTGTCGAGACTGAAGCCTAAAAATAAGGCACAACTTCAGGTACGCAACTGAAAGAGGGACAGTAGTGCAGTCACTACAATGTGTTCCCATCTAAGAAAACTGCCCAGTACTATTGTTTTTATGTCATTTTTTGGGGGGGCAAGCAGCAGCCACAGGGAACAATTTAATGTAAAAATGCATTGAGAGGTAGTGCTTTTAATGACTGCTCCATGCTCACTGGGAAACACTAGAACTGGATGGAAATAAACTCATTCACTTGGGGCAGAAAGCCACTCCACAACCAGCTCAAAATCAACCTGGCACAGTAACACGGCCTCTGATTCACAGGTGCCGAGTTTGGCGACTATGATTAATTCCCGTATTTTCAGACAACACCAGAAAATCCACTAATGTTCGTCGGGAATTTGCGCTAAACATGAACACTATTAGGAAATCTGTGTTCAACCCCAGTTTCTGATGCAGTCTCGCATTGGTCGAATCGCCACATCACCTCCTGCTGTGCCATTTGCCAGCCAGCCGATCCCTGTGTGCCTCTACCCCTCTGTCTGTCATTTACAGAATCAATCCTTGCAGGCTGTTAAACCCCCTAGGTGCATTTCCAGGTCATATTTAGTAAAGTCCTGAAAACTCAGCATGGCGTCTGAGACCGGAGAGCTGGCTAAAACATTTTCCTGTCATCTGTAGAACATGTTTCATTTGCCTCGATGTTTTACTTCGATAATAGTTTTCAGACTCTGTGCTGTGGAGTAAGATCAAGTTTCCAGTCCTGTCAAAAAAAAAAAAAGTAGGCAGCACCATCCAATGACAACTGATCCCTCATGTTTCCTCACAGCAGTCACCTCTCAATCAGAGTGGGTGGCCAGCTGGGCCAAGAGTTGACAGTAGCATCTATACTGTGGAGAGGAGGAACCCTGCATGTGAAATAAAAATGCTGACAAATATGGAGGGAGGCAAAAGAAGAGACGAGAGCCGAAGCCAGATCTGGAAACACGCTAAGAATAAATGACTACATGAGGCAGAGCTATAGTGCAAAGTTGCCAAATGTGTGCACTTTAGAAGACCGAAAATACCATTTGATAGAGGTCGTATTGGGAATGAGCAGATGAGCATAAAGCACCAGGTCTGCTGCTATGAGAGGAAGAAGTAATGAACAGTGGAGAGAGAGAGAGAGAGAGAGAGAGAAAGACAGAGATCTCTACAAGTAGGCGGAAACCTGTAACTAGCACAGACAGTGGGAAGAAACCAAGACAGATGGAAATTGGCATGTAGGTGGGCTCGTTACATCAGATCCCGATGTGGTCCATGAGCACAGATGAAGAGAGCACGAGAGAACATAAGTGGTGCGGTTTGCCGAAAAAAAAACAAAAAAAAAACGAGCACACTTGCATCCTGCCCATTTGGAACAGATACCCTCGAAGTGGAGGTGCACGCTGCATCACAACACACTGAACAGCACTGGCTCTAGTGTAATGTGGCAATTAACACTGTGAGGAGAGCACATATTACACCTATTTAAAAGTACTTACTCTGGATAACTGGTAGTTTTTGTATTGATTTTAAAATCCTTTATTTAGTTTGTACGGGCCCTACATGGCTTTCAGAAATGCTACTGGTTCATGAAGCAGGAATGCCCTCAAGATCCTCCGGTTCTTTCCTTTGAAAGCAGAGAAAAAATATATTTGATGCGCTGCTTTTAGCCCTTATGCTTCAGGCCACTGCCTTCCAGAGAAGGCAGCTAAAAATACAGATATTTTAAACGTAAACTAAAAACCCACCTCTTCAGTCCAGCTTTTATGCAGTGTTATAAATATCTTTTTTAATCACCATTATTTCCATTTATTCTATTTATTTTTATTAGCAGCTTGCTTTATTATAATGCATGTGTGGAATATTTCATACATTTTTTAATTATTTCACAATTACTATATTTTATTGTTTCTATTTATTATTACTACTTGTGATTTTTGTTTATTTCTATACTTATTTGTTTTAATTTATTTCATTTTACTACTAGGTTACTATTTAAGTTGTATTTCATAATATCACTTTTATTGCTTGCCCTATCTTTTATTATATATTTTGCACATCTCAACTACCTATCTTTTATTGTTGTCCTTTTCTTAATGTGTCTGTTTTGGTCTCCATAAGTCTCTTAATCGGTTTTTAATATCCTACATTTTGTCAGTTGTTATTAAAGCACTTTGAACTGCAGCCGCTTTATTTTAAAAGTCATATATAAATAAAGTTTCACTCAACTAATCATCAACAATGGAACGGGATTCAAAGGTGTATGCATCGTTTTATGAGTACACCTGCATGCAATCACCCATTTGCACCGAAATGGAGAAATTATTGTAAAGCATGAGGAAATTAATAGGAAGCATGAAACTGCTCTCTTGCTATCAGTGAGTCGTGCATTGGCCTGCAGTTCTTATTGCATATTTTAAATTACCAAAGAGAGAATAGTTTACAAGAGAACAGAACACAGTAAAAAATATGTGTTCCAATACAAATGCATGAGAGTTTAGGCATGGAAAAAAAGTTAAAAGGTCTACATACATCTTGTGCTTTTAGAAAATGCTGATAGAATCACCAAAGCTCACTGCACACAGAAACAGGATAAGTTAAAGGTGTGATTGGGATCTGTGGGTGCACAGTGAGCTCAAACAAAAAGAAAATGCAGTATTTGCTTTTCCTCGGTTCAACTTTACTTTAAGATCTCCCAAACCTGTCACGGAACAAAGAAGAAAAATCACAAATCTTCCGCTGCATTAGTACTCCTCCACCTCATCGTGTTGAGATGCACCGCGATGCTGTTTCATTTAGTTTTAAGCTCAAGTTTTGCACCCAAGGGGGCATCCCGCAACATAGTTCACCCCTCTGCAACACATTGTATTTTATTCCTGACACACTTTTTATGTTCTTAAATAGCAAAAAAAAATAAATAAAAAAATCTTTTGAGAACAAATGAATTCCAAGAACAATTTGGTATGCGCTCTGCTACCTCTTGACAGAGCTATAAAGCAGAGGTGTGACAAGAAATGTCTCATCCTCCGCTCTCCTGTGTGTGATCTCCTTTCCGGCTGCACCTGTCTGATGATAACCTTGAAAAGATCCTCCCTTTGTCTTCTGACTTACTGCTTTGTCGAGACCTGAAAGATGCAACTATCCTGAGCTGTTTTCTCTAACCTAAAACACACAAACCAGCCTTACGCAACTTTGTCTTTCTCTTATTTCTGTCTCACACTGAAGACAGCAAACAGGCATGTGAATTGTGTATCGCAATCGACTGCATCCTTCACAAAAGATGGACAGAAGCTTAATAGGTTCAAAAAGTGGAAAACTAAAAAAGCAAGAACATTGCACCAAGACAGATGATCATTCTTCTCTTACTTTCAGCTTCCAAGAAATAAAACTAGATGGAGAAATACTGTTTTGGATGCTGAGGGACAGTGTTTTTGAACAGTGTGCTCACAAGAGAGGTAGAGCGAGTTAATAAACCACTGCAGAAAAAAGTTCAACTGTCAGGAGGCCTTCTACACTGAAATCCACTTCTCATGTCAGTGCAGGAGCCTTGGGGTTAATTATTTCTCAACATCTCCGGCATTTCAGATCTGATTTAAAAAGTAATGCATGCTTTTTGTGCTGTGACGTTTAAAAAGTATCATCTGGACAATAACAGGCCGAACTCTCTGAAGGCACGAAGAATTTCAGAGCGATATTTCAAGACGCAAACAACGGGATTGAGGAGGAAAAACTTGCCAGTGATTCATCCCATTGTTCGTCTGAGTGGGCTACATGTGCGAAAAGCTTTGCAAATTGCTGGCACGGGTGGAGGTTTTCAAAATGGGAAAATCAAACCTGGAAAATGAACTGGCAAGCAACCCATGCTGCTTCATTTTTAAACACAGAAGATACAAAATGAGCCTCGGTTCATACTTGGTTGCAACTTAGTCACCTAAATTGCCCACCCAGAAGAAAACTGGAGCTTTCAGCAGTGTAAGTGCTGACCTTGTCTGTGCACTCTCACAAAAGGCAGTCAAAAAATAGCAATACTGACTAAAACTGTTTTGGCAAAATGTGCATTGGAAACCCGTCTCATCCACAGTCACTATTCAATGTTGTTAGTGACTTTTAGTTGACTTGTTTTCTTTTTTATTCAGATCTAATAAAGCAACAAGTCTAGGGTTGGTAAGTCATTCTGTCGTGTGCGTGTTTGCTGCCTACCTGGCTGACTTTGGCTGGCGTAAGCACCATGTCGAGGACTCCCGACCAGCCGGCAATCACTCCTGTGGGGACTGCATAGGCCACCGCTATCATCAGGAACCGCAGGTTGCTAAAGAGGACAAAAAAAAAAAAAAATGCATTAACGATTCAAGACTGCACTCACAAAATAAAGTCTTTCAAGCTAAATTGATTGTGCGCTGATTCTCCGAGAAATTTGAATATGGATGAGTTCTTTGACCAGCAGCGTCTGAACAATTAGATGCATAATATGTCATTATATCTTCCAAAGAATGCTAGACAAAATAATGTTCTGTGGAAAGACAGGGGGTTATTATGTTTGCAAGTACTTTATTTATTAGTTTTGCTGCAGCCACTTACTGATGTTTTATAAAAGCAGACTGTTTAATTCATTTCTGAGGCAGTTTGTTACTTATAATAAAGACCTGACGAGATGACATGAAGACCAGCACATGGCTCATAGTACCACAATCACTGTTTCTTTCCATTGACATGCAGTAGTTCAGACATGGATTGTATGTAAAATATGGACGTATAGGCTCTGAGTCTGAACAGTGAAGTAAATGTATGTATGTATGAAAGTGCTTCTAGCCTGAAATCTTTCTAACAGCCAGCAGAGGGTGACCTCTCTGGCGCTGGATTGTACAGAAACCTATGAGTAAATGACCCTACTTTTCCTTTCATCTGTTACCTCAGTGAAGGTTTTCCCAGTGAGTTTATGGTCTCAGTTGCTAGATTCAAGATTCTTTGAATACAGCATGGTATTCATTTCATAAGTTAATATCATACTTCAAGTAAAATAGACAAAAAAAGGAGGGTATGTTTTCAGGTGGGGCAACATAAATGTGAAATCTCACTCAAATCCACCTCTCTCTCTTTATGTCCTGTTTCTAAAGACTAAGAAGACGAAGACCAAATGTCAAACTTGAGGCATCAAATTAGGAGTCCAGAAACCTACATTTGCCTGTCATATACAGTCTACAGGTTCAGATCTTATATATTTTGAGAGGAATTCAAAGAAGAATCCACAACATGCTGTTTTTCATCCTTCAAGGTGCAGTGTTTCTACCTCCACTCATAAAGTCTCCCTTTGCAACAAGAACAGCTGATTTTCTGACATTTATTGATCTGCATCGGATTCCTGCGCATAAATATGAGATGTTGGTAAGGATGTTTAATTAAGAGGTTGCCCTTTGCAGAAGGGTTACATAATTATAAACCAAGCACAAAATGTTACTAATGTCTCCTCCAAGTACATGCTAAGAGCGTTGGCCTGAGATGAAACAATAAATGCAGCAGAACAAAATGGGTCCCTCCTCTCTTGTTCGCTGGTGGTTGGAGGTCTGCCATCAGCTGTCAACATGCATGCACACACACACTCTCACACACACATAGCTCTATCTCTGTGACAACACTCACTGACGTGACGCTTTCTCAAACCCCTTAACCATCGCAATTGAATGCCAAAACCTACCCTAAAAGCCAAAATCCCAAAATCAAGTCAAGTAATCCATTCAAGATGTGTTAGAAAGTGACGAAAGGCCAAAATGCTTTCACTCTAAATCCTAATCACTTAAAACTATCTTACCCTTAAACCAAGTCATCACCTTAAGATTTAATGATTTACAATACGGGACTTGCTTTTTGCATCAAAAAGGGAAAAGAGTCCCCACAATCCGACTTTCTAAACCCATTTCTGTCCCCACAACATGAGCAATACAAGCAAAGACAAACACACTAACAGCTCTGGCTCATCTCCCTGCGCCTGTCACAGCAGAAAATCTATCCTTGCGCTGAGCGTAGTGACAGAGAGATAAGCAGCTACCTGAACATAGTGGAAAGAGGTGCCAGAATAAAGCTGAAAGATATCAAAGAGGGCAACATGCACCTAAAACTGAACAGTATCATCCAATGGATTTTATACGATCCCACAAAATACTCTAAATGCTCAGCAGCGCCCTGTGTAGCACAACAGAGAGCAGTGTGTCAGCATTCGATGAACCAATTCTGAATTATGCCAATAAGCTAATAAAAAATAATGGCAACAGTTTGCTCTGGCTACAGTTTTAATCATTCAGACACTTTCAGTCATAATAATCTAAATGAACTCATGCTGCGAGTGTCGCTTCTGCTACGACTGAAAATCTCTTTTGACAGCACAGTTTTAACAAGTCTTGATTGTTCTGCATCACAATATTTACTGAAACAACAGAAATTATTCTTTGTCTCCTATTGTAGAACAGTGTTGTGTCTTTGTGTAACCATGGAGGAAAACTGTTTGAAATTATATGACAGACACGTGCTTGCAAAAATCTGAATACTTCAGTGGCCATAGTTTGTAGACAAGCTAGTGTTTACTGTGACACTGACATTTTAATACCATTATAAGGAGCTGACAAATCTGACACATTTTAAAATCCTACCCATATGCAGCTTTAAAGAATATACACATGTGAGTAGTTGTTATTAAATCAAGTTGTGGTTTTAAAAATCGAATCTGAAAAACATGGATTGCTGCTGAATAAAATCGTTGTTAAATCGCATGACAGGGTTTAAAATTCAGTGCAGGGCTGCATCAAACAATTATTTTTTCTTACTGTAAATTAGTCTATTTTGTTATTAACAGTGAAAAAATAAGAGTCAAAGGTACCTCTCACAACTTCGTAGAGCTCAAGGGGATATCGTCAAATTGGTACTTCAGTCTTAAATTCAAAGTTATTTAATTTGCAATGATATTATAAAGTTAAAAGTATTGAAAGTTTGGCATTTCTAAATGATAAATGACAATTATTGATTATCACAGCTGCTGCTTTTCAGCTGGTGGACTCATCGGCTTGTCCTTTCAGCTTCGGCTAAGGGTATTTTTGTATGACGGCTGCTTATCAGTTTATTAACTAAAAATCTAACTGTACAAAGCAGCACCATCTCCCAGCTGTGATAACGGGCTTTAGGCTACAGATACCGTGCTGCAGGGTCCGATACAAGCTGTTTGCTATCTCGGCTCACGCTGAACTGTGTACAAAACGGGGGGAAAAAATAAAGATAGCCACCTCTATATATCTAGTTATGTATGCGCAGCCTGTGTGCATGCAGAGCGCTTACCTCTTTGGGCTGTATGGCACAGCTCCAATCACATGGAACCCAAATACAATCACTTGGAACACAAGCACCCACACTAATCACCTTCGCCCAATGAGGTGGCATGCTGATTTAAAATCGGTGCCACCTCTTCAACCCTAACAATGTGATTAGAATCACTGGGCGTCTGACAAATGAGGCAGGGCTGGCAGAGCAGGCAGCAGATTCATAGATTGTTTTGTTTTCCTGCTCTCCCCCTACTTTTGTTTTTTTGTTGTTGTTTATGGACACTCTTTTAACTCTTACATCAATTCTTCCTTTGTTTTATCATAATGCAGGCCGCATCCTGAGCGGTATCGTACAGGGACATCTGAAGAACGCTTTGGGTTCTCGAATCCCTTGTACGGCTTCAAATAACACCAACAGAGAAAGTTCACATACTCACACAGAAACTACAGAGGGAGCTTCACAAGACACATAACCTGTACAGCAAAAGCATTGTTGCTGTAAACATATGCACGCCCTTTCCTTTTTCCTGACACTGCTGCACTCTAGACAATGAATCACTTTTATTTGCAGAATGCTTTGAATGTACAGAAAAACAAACAGTCTGTCTCACTGTTGTAGGCGGCCTGTCTCGTCCTAAGCAGTATGAAGCTACTTGGCCTTGGAGAGAGTATGGAGGGACAGTCATAAAAGCCCCGTGATGGAGCACTCTCTCCGCTTTTCTCCCAGCACCCTTTTCATTAACCTTGCCACAGCAGCGGGAAATCAATATCCATGCACCTTTTTTTCCCCTATACGGGACCTTATTTAGACAACCAGATGTAAGCAAGCAGACACTAGCTGCTGGGTGAGAGTAGGAGGGGAGGTTTTCTTTTTTTTTTTTTTTTTTGCTTCACTTCTCGCTGGTGATGAAATATTTCCGAAGAAGTCTCAAAGCCGGCGGTGTCATCAGCTAAGTGCCATTTGTCCTTGAAAGACCCGACTGGAGAGCAATGCATCAAGATGACAACTTTCAAAGCTAAAGTGTGTATGACTGGGGAGGGAGGGACGGATCATCAATACTCGGGCCTGCTTAGTATTACCTCACAGGATGATCAGAATACAATGACAACTTTGTACCACGCGCACAGATATTCAGCCTCCTAATTAGGTTGCTGCTGTGGAAGCAGATGTGAGCAGCTGGAAGCACTCATCAAGCTGAAGATCATTAACCAGTGCTCAGACCCTGACAGGATAAGTGGATGAACAGATACATCAATGAACAGGCATCAGCATACTAACTAACTAGTTGGCAGGTGATGTGGAGGACGCAAAACTTTCCTCCAGCTTTACCAGGGACACGTCAATCTAATACACCGACTTGGTGTCAGAGCAGATACTGACATTATGAAACAGGTCACATCCAGACATGACCAGCCAACTTTCTTCCACAGTGTAATTACAGATTATAAACTTCATCCTCTTATTCCCTACCTCTCCTATCTAGGGACTGCTATATAATGAACTATGTAGAGAGTTCCTCAGAAAAAGTAACACTACTCGAGTCTCTGCACTATTAATTACATCGCTGCTGTCGCTCAATTAAAACGTACAAATCGATGGTAGTGAACCGACTGGCATTTCTGAGATAAAATCAAATTACACTAAGCGTATTTTCCAAAATTAAGCGCTGTGATACATCGCTCTGCTTCCATTAACCATATTAATATTTTTGCTTCATTATTTTCGCCTTAACTCATGAGTTTGACTTGTGCCTGTTGCCATTTCAACAAGCTACACATGTAGAAAAGATGCATTCTGTAGACAATACATCTTAACACTATAAAAGCTGTGGAAATGTCACATATCCTTAATTGGCTCTCTGGTCCATCTGCCTGTCCGTCTGCCATTCTCTTTTCACGCAGTGCATGATGGTACATATTGCTTGGTTAGTGATCATCAGCTGTACTCTAGTTTTTATGGTGAATTGTGGGGTAACAATTGCAACTTAACATTCAGGCAGCACTACCAAAGGGCCAAACATCCTATTAAATGCACTTTATTGTGTGTAGTAAGTGATTTTGGACACAACCTTAGTTTTCAGTCTCACAGGTGTCCCCAGCTAACATAAAAATTATATAAACTACATCAAGAATCAGTAGGAGGAGGTAGCTAAGAGTCGGACAGATCGGTTCCTGAAGTACGTCAGGTATATCTGTGAGCTGCTCCACCTCCTCACCAATTTATCCATTTCTCTGGTATTCAGATGAAGGACATTTTATATGAAATCAGGTCCCTGCCGGAAAGACGGTTGACAAACGCACTGAGAATGAACCAGTTAAACCATTTTGAAGCCAAAACAATAACCTAAATTAGGCTGAAACGCTCTCTGGAGCTGCAGATTGGGTTGTAAATCGCTATGGATTTGTCATTACAGGCAACCCCTTTCACATTACAAAGATATATCGGCATTGTTTGAGGTAAAAATTTCCATCACTGGAGCTTTAATTTCTTTTTTCCTAAGTGTTTCCATTACTTTGTCTACCTCCTGTATGAGTGCACAAGGCCACAAAAGTCACTTGTCCAGTCCCAGCTGGAGAATTCTAAGGCTGGATGCTGCTGGACTGAGATACAACATGTTGCCCAAACAGGTCACTGGAAAGCTGCCTATCGCAAGTGGAGCAGAAACCCTCTCAGCTGGATGGCCCAGTTAAATTGGCCCATCACTGTGCATGTGTCTACATCTGTCCAAAACTATGCATTAGGTTGATATCTGCTTGGTTACTGTCGTCTATCTGAGGGAAACTCTTACAGGAGTGAAGGCTTCCTGTGCTGGTCACAGGCCTGTGGAAAGCCTGGCACTATAGTCAAGCTATTTCTTACTGCAGGGGACCGAGTGTAGCCAACAAAACAAGGCCAACTGCCTGGCTGCCATCACCCAGCTTTTCTTCTCCCCTCTCCAGCCTTTATTCCCTGGCCACTGCCACAGGCCTCATTCCTTTACAAGCCAGGCAAAAGGCAGAGCGCTCGCTCCACTGGTAATGCCGTTTCCTCATGGCCCAGAGGATAAATATTGCCTTGGAGGAAAGTGTGAAGGTGTGTATGGATGGGGTGCCGCAGGGTTATAATGAAGTGTGATTCAATCATTGTCTCCAGATTTCCTCTCCCCCTTACACCTCTCACCCAGAGAAAAAAGCCAAAAAACAAATGCATTCCAGGACCTTGTCATAATAGACCATCATACTCTCTCCTCAACCACATACATCAGAGGTGCCTCTTCGGAATATACTTAAAACTGGCCTTGATAGCAAAGATGCTTAGGATGTTGTTTTCAGTAGCGACCAGTATATTATAGCTTCGTAGTTAATCTAGAGGGAAGGCTGGGTTTACTTTGATAACAACTCAAACAGATGGTGAGTGGCAGACCTCTTCATTAAGATTCCATGTCGCTCTCCAGTGTATGATTCTTACACTTTAACGCTCTAAGACAAGAAGCACACATGCCATCAGCAAATAACAAACCAATCTAAACTGAGTAGATCTGTAGACACGGCAGTTGAAGAGCACTGAAGGTCCTGCAGAATTATGCTCCTGGTTGCTTTCTTAGAGACTGACAGTGTAAAACACAACAGCACTTGAAAGCAATTTCAAATACGCATCTAATATTTAAATCAGTTGAGTTATGGGTACTGAATAATGTATTGAAAGAATGGTCTCAACAAAAGGTTTCAGAAGCTATTGATCTTTCAGAACACATTATGTGCGTATACTGTACATGTGTCAGTGGTTGTACCTGAGAAGTCTGCAGATGCTGCTCCTGTAACTCAGTCTCTGGCTTGCAGCGGCCACACTGGGAGGCATCGGTGGGCGTGACGGAAAATACAGCAGGATTGCTGAAAAAAGCACCGCAATTGCAGCCAACTCTGCCAGAGCACAGTGTCAGAGATAAAAAGAAACATATATGTTATTTTCAGAGATAAGAAAGTCCGACCAATATGACATTTTATAAAAGGTCACAGTGACATCTTAAAAGGCCCCCAAAGACATCCTGGATGAACATAATCGCCTACGAGACGAGACTGTAGAATAAATCCATCTAACAAAATCATGCAATCGGGTACAGCACTGGTTAATGTCGCAACTTATCTCGACTGAAGAATATTGAACCACATTTTACAGCTTAGATACTACCATAAAGCTCCACTGCAGCCATCTCAGTAGGTCAATGCTTCATATATCGATTATCTGTTTCTTTTGATGACCAGAAAACTTTTGATTCGCAGAAAGTGTCTGCTTTGTCCTTGAAAAATTAATGACAATGCTACTGTAGGTTAAACAAAAGCTGCTGCCTCAATCTATTACAGCATGCTTGTTTCTCTTTTCAGCGTACTTTTAATTTTCTGAATCAGTTAAGCATAACAATGCCAGCAAGCTATTTTTCAGAGGCGCGGTTATGAAGACTATAATTGGGGTTTTTTTGGTGTTTGTGCAAAAATTCTTGGATCCCCTCGCCTGATTGTATTTCTGTCCCCTGACGGGGTTGACATGATGTCGAAATGATGTGCTATCGATCCCCCTGTGCCCTCAGAGGTTCTCGCCTTCTGTGAGTACCTGCATACATAACGAGCTGGATCCGGTCTCGGATGGAGCTGTCGAGAACTGCTGCTGCCATCGTGGTTCCTGCTTGGGTGTCATTGGGAGCTGGAACTACCAGAGGTCCCACTACGAAGGAAGTGGCGCCTCCCAGGTAGGAGAAGAGCGAGGCCACCGCCGTCGCAGTGGCTCGCTGATCGGGTGCAAACCAAGTGGTGGAGAGGAAGGGACCGGCACTCATTATGGTTGGGCCGGCTAAACCGTTTAGAAACTGACCTCCGTGTATCAACCTGTAACAGAAACAACAGCAAAAAAAAAAAAAAGCTTTGAATCTTCAGCAAAAAATAGCAACAGCAAATGAAAACGCACACCACATTAAGTGAAGCTAATCAGATCAGGTGTCATATATGAAAATATTGATTATACTCTTAGGAACAGGTGTTTATAGGTTTAGGTTTTAGGTTTATCAGGCTAAATAAAGCCTGACTTTAGTGAAGCCTGATGATGGAAGTTTAAGTTTCTCAGCCCCACTGCTTTAAGTTACTGTAATGGTTAACGGTTGAGTCAGCATTGTGTGGGCCTGCAATAATCCTGAAAAGCAAGAATCAATAATGGTCAATTCTCTGCACATACAAAGCACTTTTTGACCTTAGTGGCATGCAAAGAACTTCACAGTGGTTCCCATTCACACACCAGAAGCAAAAAAAGCTGCAATGCAAGATGCTCGCCTGCTATCAGGAGCAAACTCGGGTTCAGTGTCTTCCCTAAGAACACCTCGACATGCTGAGGGGCTGGAGATCAAACCACCAACCTTACAATTAATGGACAATCCGCTTTACCACAGCCGCCCACAGTGAATTCATGAAAATGTGGTGCGACACAACATCCAACTTTACATTGTCCCTAACCAGATGTAACACTACAGTTGTCTCCTGCAGCAGAGGGGTTGCAGAAAATCAACTCTGGAGGTTTGTGACACCATTTTAAGCAATCTTACCATAACTTGTTTGCATATTTTACAGCGAAAATTGTGTTTTCCAAGATACTGGGCCCAAAATGTGGTTTTCCATGAACCACGGCTGCAGCAGTGAGCATCACATCAGCGTATTTATTACCTTGAAAACAAACAAGTGAAGTGATGGGGAATGTTTTTTTGAGCGTCTGACGGGAGGAATGACAAGCGAGAGGATGAAAATAAGGTGTAATGATCTCTGGGGATTTAAATAAGTAACAACCAGTCCCTGAGAGAGTCCAAGTTTCAGCCTCACTTGTGCACCTTCAGACTGAGCCGTGTGAGACAGATGTATTGTGAGATGTCCCCTGATGCCACCAGACCCCTCAACACCCTCAGCCCCCTTCAGAACTGTCTGACTTAGACAGCCAGCCGCTGGAGACAGCTCATGGCTGATTGATTGTCTGTAAGCTCAGTAAAGACACCATTCATTTAGAGCAGCCTGGAGAGCTGGAGAACAGGAGGCAAGGAGAGAGGGGAAAAAATAAGAGGCAGAGAGTGAAAATGATAAGAAACACGAGGGAAAAGGAGAGATCTCGGGTTAATTCTGAGCTTAAGGTATTCAAAAATAATCAGTATATTTTCTGTGCAGTTGGAAACTTGACACCTAAGAGTCATTACTGATCCTCATTGAACGTAAGTGAGTTCAGACTGGAAGGTGAAAACGGAGTGTTTGTGGGTTTTATCAAGGTAATATTTTTTAAGATCTTGTTATTACCAATTTCGATGAAATATGTCGCCCATTAAGTAGGTTAAATAGATCTGAAAATGGTACCTTAAGGATGTATGACAACCCCTCCTCACTAAAGTACTGAGATTTGAAATATTATTTAAGACCTTAGTTCAAATTACATAATTTAAATGACTCTCTGTGTCCGTCGTTTTTAGAAACCATCAATTTTACTATTTCGAATTCCCCAGTGTTGGAATGACATTTAAACACTGAACTACGACACAGTAGTAATGCAGACATGATGCTATTTTTTGCACTAGAGAAAAAATCAATACCTAGAATTACAGCCATGCTTTCTGCAAGCGCTTTTAATTCAAATGCTGTTCTAACACAAGCAGGCATGAGTGAACTTTGCATAAATAAAAAATACTTCATTTACATTTCTTACCAGATTTAGAAACAATCACATCAGACAATTAGAAAACACAGTTACAAGTGTGACCAGTCGAGTGGCTTCAGACGCATTTCTTGAGGGATCAAATGAGGTTCAATACCCACTTATACATTTTTTAAAATGTTCAGACACAAAGCAGACATAAATCAGTTTGTTTAGTCTCCAGTGTGCTTACACTTGTCTGCCCTCTAACTCTCTCTACCTTTGCTGTCCGCTGCCTCTGGGACTCGCAGATAAATGTGTCACTGCAGAATACAAAGTGCTGTGGTCAGTGACAGACTGATTGGAGAATGACTCGTTCACCCTGTATCTCCTTCCCACATCTAAGCCCTCCTAACATCCCAGCCTACACACCAACACCTCCTAAAATACTCTGTGGCTCTTACTTTTTTTTATTCATCCCACTCCTTCTTTCTTTGTACGCGAGTCTCAATCTTTATTGTTAACTTAGCTGCAAGAATTTTCAATATGCGACATGTAACGCAGAGGAACTTCTTCTTCTTGTATACATGAATCGAACATTACCGAGGCTTCTGATCTAGTCATGTGCACTGGTGCAAGGATGTCTTTGTCCACATCCATCCTCCGTCATTTCTGCACCAGCTGAGTGAATTCAGCAGGACAGATGAACCCAGTGTGGGGACACTGCTGCATTTACCCCTCTGCTATTTTATTCTCCATCTTCTTATGTGTGACGGAGATGAGAGCAACAAGCGATGAAATTTATCCTCCACGTTATCAGTGTCGCACTGTCAGTTTCGTTTTAGCATGTAGGTCATCATTACATCATTTGTCATTGATATTTTTTTATTGACTTATCACGATGGGATTTAGATCAAAGATGCAGGTCCTTCCGTGGCAAAAAAACCCAATTTCAGACACCTGACTGATGTGTCTACATGCCGCTGTGCCCCACAGTAACCCAGTGAGCATATTTACATGCCTCAAAACTTGAAAAATGGTCTTATTTAGGATTCTAAAATATGATCTTTACTTCTCTGTATGTGCAAAGAACCTCTGTAAATCCAAGGTATGTGAGTGCATAGCAATGTGTACTATACTAAGAAGTCAGATTTATCTATGAATATTATTAGATAAAGCTAAGACAATAAAAATGCCTTTGAAAGCATCTGTCAGTGTCAGTGAATGACAGATTTTATATTCATACCTTTAACTAAGTCTTGCTTGATTTCAGCACCACAGTGTTCAAAACAGAATCATTATGTTCCGACGAAAAACAAGCAGCACTGCGGCTCTCCAGAACCAAGAGAAAGCACTACTGCTCCTTGGCCAACCTCCTAAAACATTTCCGTGTCATCTTTCTATGATTAAGTGATTTTTTGGTACCTTCACACACATAACCTTCATTTGCCTTTTCCAGTATTTGACTTGTTTCATGGACAGAACCACTAGATTGGCGTGCAGGTGGCGCCAGGCAGCAGGTATGACATTGAATCTAGAATTTCATTTTTATCTTTTACGTCTAATAACTATTTCACAGCCTTTAAGGGATCCATAGGAATTATTGCACCTCCTCTCGTTGAATTCAGCCCTAAGCTTTGTAAAATCTGTGTGTTTGGCCTGTGCAGTCTACAATGGCGCTGATACACATCATATTTTGTTCTCCTGCCTGCAAAGAGCCTTTGATTCAAGTCGGCATTGTGTCGTTTTGTGTGTTGAATCGAAAAAGAGCGCAAACCACGCCCAACTGGCACAAACAGGCTCAGCGCGAGTCGGGTTTTGAAGTGCATCCCGTGATTATGGTCTCATTTAGGCCAGGAAAGGGTCCAGACAGCAGACTGGTCCACCTGCTGGACTGTATCTTCTCATTAGGCACAATGATTATTCAAAGTCCAACACTCCAATTCAGCTTATTCGTTATTTAAGAAACACAGATACTCAGGATGTTTAAAAACAGTAACTCTTACCTTGAGTGACCTCATGTTATTACTGGACATCATCTGTATTTTTGGTACCGGTGTCACTGTGGTACCAAAGTTTATATATAACGTGTAGTATAACGTGAATAAATGAATAGCAATCTGAGCAATCCATGGCAGCTTTCACCACATCTCAGTGTTTGGAACTGTGCTTTCCAAAGTTTGGCCAGTACCCGGCCGATTAGACCACTGGATAGATGTGACTTTAAAAAAAGACTTTCAATATGACAGGTGATGAGGACAGATGGTGACTAACATGGAGGCTGAGCAGTCACATGAGGAAGCTGCACTGTGGCTGCCGAAGCAAAGGGAGGGAACGGAGCAAATTTTTCAACAAGAGGTGATTAATCACTATTGATGAACCTTGTCAGACCGAATCTGATCGAGAATGAGACAGAGAAGTCTGCACTACGGCAAAATCGTCCAACTGCTTCTGGTCATCCAGCACTGACGGACCACATTCTGCCATCACAAAGAAGCAGAGCCAATTCTATCTTGAAAATGGCACCACAGAAATTGTCACGGTAATATGACAGCCCGCTGCGGGATCCACAATGTGTCATGACGGCCAATCAGACAGTGTCTGAGTGAGTCTGAGATCGAACTGATAGGCACTT